CTTATCTGTTGTATAGAGAGAGATACAATGGAGCTTTATTGGTCAACGTCACGTAAATAAGGTGCAGTAAATCGTGTCCCAGCGCACCCTTATTTTCTTGGCTTGCGTATCGTCCGTTCTATACTTACTTTTACTGCCAATATTTTTGTGGTCATAGTCAGTGCTTTGGGTCATCATCCAGTCTGCTCACCGCTGGCTGGCTTGCCACTCCCTCTGCAATAATCTAGATAACATTCATTTTTGGTGTTAATAGGCCCTGTTTGAGGAAAGCTGATTGCTGGTTAAGCCCCCCGGACCAACGCTCACTGACATGTTGTCAAGGTTTTCACTTTCGTGGGACTCTTTTCAGTTTAATTTTTCACCAAGCCCACAGAGGATCCAGTGTAGTCGCGTAGATTCGTTGCACTCATGCGTCCTTCCCGCTGTTTAATGTATTTCTTCCGAGTAATTCGTGGCTTTCGTTCTGACGCGTGACCTTTTGAGTTTTGGGGGACTTAGACTTCATAGTCTTGTTGTCACCTGGGAACAGTTGATCAGGCATGACAATAAAATTAAGGTCTTGGCTCTCATCCACAGAAAGAATCTACGTTTAAGTAAATGCTATTACGATTCGCCCATCATTTGTCAGCATGACCTTCCTCATTACTGCCCAGCAAGAACGATCAAGATAAACAAGAATAGAATAGTTGCCAAATGACACTTGTAGCTCACCTTGGGTCGTTGACTAGAGAGGCGAGGGCGGATATATAAAGCGCAAAGATTATAATGGGGAGAACTCCCATTATAGACTATTGATAATGATTATGCATAATTTTGATGCGAAAATAAATGTTTCGGGTCTGAAATCTGGAATCTTGCACGAGAGATGGCGTACGCCTATAATGATCGCCATTTTGGTTATTTAATATCGCCCAATAAAAACAGATAAAATATTTCCGAGTTCAGAATTAACTGTAACAAAGAATCTAAAACCCTATATTACACGTTATAGGTATGATTGTAGAGTTGTTAACGGGTTAGACGATAATAAACATAATAGGATGTTGTCATCTCTCCCATAGTGAGTGAGAACACTTGTTTTGGCGGCTAGCCTACACAGTTTCACATTACCAAAATTTACAAAATCGAATGACATTTACTGCGCCATTTTCATTTTCGCCCAAAAGTGGGCGATGGCTCTAAAGTTAGGTTCGCGCGCTGCTCAAATAGGACTGTCAAATCTCTCCCATAGTAGTAACAACTGTATCGCAATTTTGAAAATGTGGTGTCAAATGGTTCTTGAGTTTGATCGTTTGACCGTAGGCAGACACTGAAAATGGCCATTGAAATTGCCGAAAATCTACCTAATTGAAAAAAATATCAAAACCCATGTGAGGTATGTTTTGGGGGCCAGTCCTTATTCATTCACATACTAGAAATGAGCAAATATCGTTGAACCTGAACTGCCTTATGGCCTTTCCATTATTTTTTGCAAAAAGATAGGAGTGGTCGAATGTAGGACGACTGCATTGCATCAAAAAAGGAACTTTCAACCTTCTTTCCATAGCGAGTTAAAAACTATATGCCAATTTGAAACAGTGTCGGATCAAACTGTTCTTGCAGTTATAGCTTGCAGCGTAGCAAATGTTGGACTGACGGCACGGAGGACGGACGACACCCCATGACAATAGCTCCATCTTGACGATGTCAAGGCGAGCTAAAAATCAAATGCAAGTAGAAAAGATGACATGGTTAATTAGAGGACCTTTGAAGCCGGAGGGGACAGTTGAGGACAGAGAGGACATGCACATATGACAAGAGGACCATGCAACATAGACATGAGAGACATGATATTAGACAGCCGGAGCCCGACATGACCATGACATAAAGGCATGCGCATGACAGATAGTACAGAGCGGCCCATGACATAGACAGAGCGACATGACATGACATTGAGCATTGTTAAGAGGCATTGAAGCATAGCTGTTTAGCACACTGAACACTAAGATGCAGAAGAACAGCACGACATGCGAGCAGCGGTGGGGGTTGCGAGAAGAGAAGGTTAGGAGTGACAGGCGGGTGATATCGATATAGAGAGCAGTGTGTTTGAGTGAGAGTGAGAAATACGTGGGAAGAAAGGAAGGGAGAGTAGCAGAAAGACGATGGACAAAGTGATAGAGAAGAGAAGAGATGTGAGAAAGAAGACAGACAGAAGAGAGGAGGAGAAGATTAGAAGATAGAGACAACTGGGAAAAGAGAAAGGATTACTATATAGAAGCTAATACGCGAGATATAGAGAGCCATTAGCCCGAGATATTAGTGAGATTAGAGAGAGCTATAGCGAGATAGAGAGAGCTATAGCCGAGTATAGAGAACTATAGAAAGATGCTAGCAGCAGCAGAGCTCCATACCTGTTCCTGCTAGATCACGAGCTCTCGGTGTTGCGCCAGCAGACGGGTGATGTGATCACTCCCAGTTGTGATGGACAGCGTCCAGCATCCTGCCTGCCGCATTGTCCGCACGACCTGGTGTCCTGGAAACATGGTCCGCCGGAACCGTAACTTTAGAGACAGAGAGGCAGAAAAAAGTCAACGTTATGCAACCAGTATGGAAAGTCGGTATGCAGTCTTGTAGTCAGTACGCAGTATAGTGCTGTGGTCACTCGAGGTTTCGATTGTTTTTGGGTACACTGCCTCGTTGTTGTCTTGTAGTTAATTGAATTGTACACTGCTAGCATTCTTGTTCGCCAGTATTCATAATTGTTTTTATATTAGTGCCATCAATTTCATTTTTTATTATACAGAATTTCTAGTTTAATGTTTGTTATTTTGTATTTGTATTGTTGTAACTCATTAATCTTTATTTCTTTTTTTTTTTTTTTTTTTTTTTTTTACACAATTAAGTCTCGTAACATTTGTTTTATATTTTCCTATCATCATCATCATCATCATCATCATCATACAGTTCTCTCTCCCCATATTTTCTGCCATCTGGCAGCTTGCCATGAACTATGTATGTGTACCTCAGCCACAGGTAGAGATCAAGCACATCGAATACTCCTTCCAGATGCACGAGGTCCAGAATGGTTTCCGGAGCCTGGAATGGCCAGCCGATCTGCCGGCACAGCCAGTCAAACGTGATCGCTTCTCCGTGGCTGTACTGTCTCGCAAACTACACAGAAAACACACAGTCAAATATAAATTAATAATATTTATGCGTATCCATACTCAATGCACACGCGGCATTAGTCGATTTTGTACAGAAGCTAGCTGAAAGAGGAGGGAGAGGGAGAGGGCGAGAGAGAGAGAGAGAGAGAGAGAGCAGAAGAGAAGAGAGAGAGAGAGAGGAAGAGAGAGATTAGGAGAAACCTCCCAATGTCTGATAATGGTAGCATAATTACAATAAAATCCAAGTAGCAGTTTAAAAGAAAATGTCACGACTCAGTTAGTCATTGCCCTTTCAAAAAGATTTCATCCTATGCCTTTTGTGTATGCCATCTAATGCAATTTTGCTAGTAAATGGATCTTTCGACCTAACCTGCATTGGAATGAGAAATTTTATGTTTGTTGCTATGGCAGCAGCAACCTTTATAATGGGAATCTAAACATATGGCAACATTACGTATTTTAGCTAATCAGCAATTCCATCGCATCACTAAATACTAAACATCACTTACCATAATGATCATATGATACCATATGATCACACGCAGTCAACTAGAAGTTTTATTGTTTGGACATATTATAGCCAAATAGCAATGATATTGTTACACCCGCAAAGTATAATATATCCTATGCAATGTATAGCTGAGAGTAAAAACACCTATCACAAAGTCCTCATTACAGGGACGTCATTACCTAAAAATGTAAATAAACAAAGTTTGTTTCTGCCAACTGCTAAGTAGTGCATATTAGCTTGAAAAAACTATACTGACTCACCTTGAGAAACATGGTGCATATGAACGGCATCTTGCGGTTAATGGGAGCACAACAGAACACGTAGCGTGCTCTCAGCTCCAGCGGAACGTGTTGGATCATGTCTGCGAGGAACTTAAAGTCATCGACGTTGCACATGAAGTAAATGGCGCTGTCTACTTGCGACAGACTGACGAAGATGTCCTGAGCAAGAATCGAATCAAAATAAGAATTGCATTAGTATAGCATCGGATCGCCGTGAAAATTTCATTGCCGCTACCATAAATCTGTCGAATTAGGAAAAAATGGAGCCAGCATTTATGGTGATTTAGTCTTCCTCATCCTATAATGAACGCACCAGGTAGTTTTTATGCACTACTTTACACCACCTGTGCATGCAAAATGCAGACAAAAGCAGATCTCGGTGAGTTATGCTATGGCACAGATTTCCGCGTGCAAGTTTACTCAGGTCGGTAAACTGAAGTTCTCATACTCACTATTAGGTTGGAGAGTGTAGCATTTGGTAGATGATAGGCAAACAACTCAATCTGCTCTGCAGTGGGATGTAGCCCTGCAACCTGTAAGCAAATACAGGTATGAGGTAACACTTCACATTGCTCATCTCTTGCTTAATTACACCATTTAGAGTGCATAATTCTTTGTGATGACTAACTTTCTGTCTGTATGACTGCTTGTCTGACTGTCTATCTGTCTGTCTGCCTGGCTGGCTGTCTGTCCATCTGTCTACCTATCTGTCTGCCTGCCTGGATGGCTGGCTGTATGTCTGTCTGTTAATCTGTTTGTCTGTCCTTCCATCTGTCTGTCAGTCAGTCAGTCAGCCTCTTTGTCCGTCGGCATGTCTTGGTTTAGCTTGCACTAGACTTAAAGAAGGAAAAAGACATGCAAAGGAAAAGTCACCGCATTTTTGGATCGTGATAAACTGATATCAAACCTCTATCTTCTCGACAGTGCTACCCATCAACTCGCGGAGAGTTGGTAAATCTGCCGACTTGAACGTTGTCACTTCGCCCTCGCTATACGGTGTGCCATATCTGCCTGCTCTGCCTGCTATCTGTAAAGCCTGCCAAACCAAATATCTACTGCCATTACCCAAAATGTTAAAAGCTGTTCCTTGAAACAATTATCTTTAAGAAGGTTGGATGGTATATAGAAAGATCAGTGTCCTCTGGCCATGTTTAGCAATAACCCTATACAGGGGGTTATAACACAGTATTTCTAAGGAAGCGAAATATTTCTCATAGCAGTTACAAGCAGGTGGCCATTCTACAGAGTGAACCACTAACATGGGTTTGACTGCATACTACGATAATAGGCATATACTACGTACGTCATCCTGAAACATTTTGTTGTTTTAGATGTGATGGTTTTATCATACCTGTGACGTTGTGATGGTGTCCATTTCTTTTTCTCCTTTTTCATTGATAGTTGGTTTAATAAGTGAGTAGAATATGATTCGTTTTATGCTCCTGTAAACAGCAAAAGACTGCTAATGCACAACGTAATACTGCCATTGCTCAGAAGTGCTCAAAAAGGCCTGACAAGATTATTATACTGAAACACCTTGGAGTCTGAAGGATATTATAACAATCCCTGAATACGCCTCTCATATATCTACCCACCCCCCTCCAATGCTGTGGCCTCATGTCAGTTTACTTTAAAGTGCTGGTTCAAGGGAACTCCCCCCCCCCCCACCACCAATGCTGGTATGAATCTTTGGGATCGGTTACATAGCCGAAACCACACCTATGGATTTTTTTCACATTATACAACATCATGTAGCAAATCTATAGTTCTATGTCACATAGTCAATTGTCACGACAAATGCTGATGTTGTAGCCAAGCGTATATTTGCATTTTACTTACAGGTTCAATCCCATACCAATAGCATCTGTGGCAACCATGATTTTACAAGGGTTGTCTGGATCATTAAACTTGTTGGCCTGGGCTAGTTTAGTTCCTGAATGCATAGAGATAAGGCAAATTAATAATAACTTTAAAAGCAAATAGCAGTTAACCGAATAACAAAAATTTTACCTATACAATATGTGCCTTTTAAATTTTTAATGATTTATAATGTAGATCATAGAAAAGTTGTATACAAATAGTATTTAATATAATCAACATGATCTCCAATATGTGATAAAAAGCCTCAGTTAAACTCACCAGGGGGCAGCCCACCATATATGATGGCACATTCGTGTCCACGCCTTTCAATCTGTCGACTGATCGCATAAATGTCGTTCTTACTAAAGCAGACAACGCAATCTCCAGCTCTGATATTGTTATATGACTCTGCCAATGAAATACGCAAGTAGGAGTTATGCTTCATATTTTCTTACAATGGAATTTAGCTCTGAACATTTGCCAAATTTGAGAATTTTGCATTTCAGTAATTTCATATTTTAGTAATTTGCCAGTTTGTGTACACTGTGTCGCATGTCTGCATTTATAAACTGAATACCTATGCTGTACATTTTTATATTGAGTAGCTGTACTAGCGATATCGATAGTAGAGTGCATAGCAGCTTACCAACTGCGTGGTCGAGGGTTGTAAGTGACGTTAGGCGCTTGTAGTTGCGCACCTCCACCTCCTCACCCACAGCCATGCACATGTCCCTTACCAGGTCAATTGCAGCCTGCTCACCACACAGGTGAATCTCTTCAGCACAAACACCTGCAAAACAACAGAACGCACCTGTCACCAATGATCAAGCAAACATACGTGCTTGCATAAATACACGAACATGAACCCGATTACACATCGTCACAGCCATATGCGACTCTATATTAACAGTTATGGGGGCCGCTCTCTGGCAGATAGTTGCTCTCCCTCGATCCCTCTCTCTCTCTCGCACTCTCTCTCTCTCTCTCTCTCTCTCTCTCTCTCTCGCACTCTCTCCCGCTTTCTCTCTCTCTCTCTCCCTTTCTCCCTCTCTCTCACTCGCTCCCGCTTTCTCTCTCTCTCTCTCATGCACCCTCTTCCTCCCTCCACCAGCTCTCCCCACCTCTCTCCCTCTCTATGTGCTTAGCAACCCAATCCTTTCTACTCTTTCTGTACACAATAGATTATAGATATTAACGATAATAGGAAATTATCGCGTACATAGTCTAAAGAGTTTATGTTAAGCCCATGTATGAGCCCGCATGAATTCTTACCGAGGAGAGCTCGTGTCCACGCCCAGCCTCGGCTGTTGTCGCGAAACATCTGCACCTCGTCGATCACCGCCACTTCGTCTGTAAGACGTCACACACAGCCATTACTCTATATACACACACGTATGTACGGCCTACTCTAAAATTTAATAATCATTGCGTAGAGAATTTAAGGCTTAAAATGCAACAGGCGGACAGGTGTCAGGATATGACTTGATAGATCAGACCTGCCAAGTTAACATATATCAGTGTTTCCCCTGTATTGACACGAACGAGGCGGCCCGCCTCGCTCAAATTCTTAACCGCCACACAGGAATTTGTCCAAAACACCGCCTTGCTAACCAAACCTTTGACAACTTGAAAAAGAGATTCAAGAGTCTCATACAATGTGTTCAGAATAGCTTAGAATGCACCACATTGCACCATTTTTCCAAAAATTTCCAGGGGGGAACATGCCCCCGGATCCTAACTTGGCCAGCACATGCACTGCTCGCTTTGCTAGGACCTCAAAATGCGCAAACACATCACAAAAAACATTTACCACCTCACAGACCTTTTTGGCTAGGGGAAACACTGTATACGAAGCTATTCACCTTGGATGTGCAGATAAGAAAGGGATGTCTTTTGAGCTCTATCAGATACTTTATTCTATGGTTTGCCATTGTTGCCTTGCTGTCACAAGCACGGAAATGACTATGTCATAGCCCCCTTCATGACCTTCATGGCTCCCAGGAATTGTGGCTCATGGTATAGGGACGTACATGGCGTTGTTGTGCTGGTCATCTCCACGGTGCATGCTACGTGATTAGCCGGTTGACCCTCAGGATCAGCACATCTTCGCTCTTCTCCCGTGACTAGATCACATGGCGTTCCCTATAGTATGATAGACAGTCACCCACATGCTGAATGTTCTCAACTGTTTTCACGCAAGCCTGCTGCATGGCCCGCCCCATTGTTACTTGTTCTTAACCTAATATGTGACAAGTAATAAACTACACATCTAAAGAAAATGGTGTCTGTATTTCCTTAAATTACCTAACACGCAAAAAGGTTGGGAATTATTCTGAAAATATTTTTGATATTTCCGTAATTCAATTTGAGTCTTTAAAGCCACAATATGCGCATAATCTACACGCTAATTTCTCCAGTACTAGACTAGCAAATACTTCGTGACATGCATAATCACACTACCTTATGACAAAATAAACTCTAGTTCCTCCCATTTCACTGTGCGTTTGCTTAAAACCCACAAGAAAGAGGTGCGAAATCTGGTAATCTGGCGCCAACGCTGAATTGTTTGCCAAGCAATTTCGCCCCGAATCGGTAAGGTGATGTCACATGTTGCTACGGGTGTTGAGCAGAGAATATAGTCGTTTACATTTTAAGATAGTTGTAGTATTGTGAACTGCAGTGCATGTAACGTCAATGGCTATTGGGAAAGTAATAATAGGCAGCGTAATAAACTCTGAGAATAACATATTGATTTTAGGCTTGATATCGCGAACGATAACATGTCATTGCGCTAGCAGCGTGCGAGCGAAAAACGCACACGGGCCGTAGAAATCTTTGCTACACCCGCTGTACGGTTGCTTGGCAGAGCAACGCGAAAGTGTCAACAACATCGGAGAATTTGAACAACATTGGAGGTATTTTCAAATACCTTTTATAAGACATCGCACAGTGAAATGGGAGGAACTAGTTCATTTTGTCATAAGGTAGTGTGATTATGCATGTCACGAAGTATTTGCTAGTCTAGTACTGGAGAAATTAGCGTGTAGATGCGCATATTGTGGCTTTAATGTTTTAAATTAAAAAAACTTAAAACTAACATTAGAAATACGGTTTATCGGTGTCAGCTAGATTTACACTTCACAATAATATGTGACACATGGTTGTTAGCATACCCTGTCGTTGGTCTTCTGGTACACCTCTACAGCAAGCATCTTAAGAGGGCCACAGTACACCCCAGACTTGGCGTTGACATAACGTTCGAGTGCATGGTACGTTTTCCCACTATTTGTGGGGCCAGCATGAAAAATAATCCGCCTTTGCAGAGCTCTGGCTTCTGGGTACCTGCAGAAGTGTTATATGTCACCGCGATGCTTTTATACAGATCAAGTATTTTTGCAGACAAGGGTGTGTCATGTATCTTAACAAATGTAACAAGTGTTGCTATGACCAAGTCTATGCAGAGAAAAAGTAAGTGGCCTGTAGTAATTATTTTAACACCGTTAACCTAGTGCCATTAGGTTTCCTACATACTAAGCATATAATTTACATTGTGCAAGTCTAATTCCAACAGCTGAACATAGATAAATTTGCTCAACATTACGCACCAGTTCGCAGGCAATCTTAGGTCACTGATTTTCTTTAAATCATCCATACACTCAAGATGTGGGAAAATCTGCTTGGCATGTTTAAGGAAATATGGGAAAATGTCATCCACGTGACCTAAAAAATTATTCATACACTCATACATGTTTTTTGGCACAAAAAATCACGTATTCAACATTAAAACCTGTGAATCATTTCCAGCTAAATAATCTCTTCACAGAAAACTTTTCACACTAAACAAACACAAAATCTTCTATCAAAAATCATACCTATTGTCAAGGATGGCAAGTGCAATTAAAAATTCCAATAGCCCCTAAAGATTCTGATCACTAACAATTCAGGATGATGTGGCTATAATTACCAGAGTTGTTTATAATGTCGGTGAGGAGAATGTGAAGCTCGGCTGATAGACTCTCCACCTCCATGCAGTATCTACGAAAGCTGATGTAGGACTGATGAAACAGGCGAGCTGCTCTTGAACAAAACCATGTTCACGTTACACACAATGCTATGCTGATCGTCCAATCACTTACATAGTAGTAGTAGCATAAGTTAGCAGATGTGTAATCATGGCGGTCAGTAATAATAGAAGATAAACTGCAAATTAAGTCGCAGTTCTAATGGCAATGGGTACCATTCAAGTTATTGGTTGGTGTGGTAACAGAAGATAAACTGCAAATACATTCACAGTTATAATGGTCTAGGTAGAAGTAGAGTTATTGGTTGGTCTGATAGGCATGCATGGTATTGGCACAGGTTGCAGGAACTCGTATTTAAACAAAGACCATTCACCACAGTCAGTATAAGGACTTCATACATACTATCAAGGCCACTATCCTGACACAGCCGCTTGATCTCAGGTCGCTTGTAAAACATATTCAGCACTCGTAGTAAATCCGCTGCAAATTATTTTAAAAAAGCGAAATGATTACAGCAGTTTGCAAAATGCCTGGTCTGCATTCATGTTTTACATAAGTACATCATTTTCAGCATTAAGATGATACCTTTCACAATAGTATAAACTTAATTAGTGTTGTTATTACATCACCTATTCAGGCTATTGTTTTATAACCATGATATATTAGTTATCAATTACCGATCTTGTGATTATGTTTTGTGCTAAACCAGTTACGTCACCTTAAGATATAACAATAGGTGACTTCAGTCAAACCTCTGTATTATGGATCAATCAACATAACCGCTAAGCTGTGCTCCATAGACAGCTAGGTGTCTGTTTTATGGAAATTGCTTTACTGTATAAGTTACTATAACTGGCAGTCAATACACCCGTTGACAGTTTAACACTGCGCATGCGCTTAAGCCTAAGGTCAAAGGTCGGGAGGAGATTCCGTCCCAGAATT